CATGGACCCCTCTTGCATTGAACAACCACACAGACACTCATTCACGATCAGGATTTTCTCATTTGTAATTGAAAGATTCAAGACATCACTCACAATTTTTGTAGATTTGTACAATTAACGGTACAGTCTTTCTCGCATAGCCTTTCGCCTGTCTTTGTTTATACTCTGTATATAATTAAATCTCGTATATAAAACTATAAAATGTCCATTCGGCTTCGGCGATTTGACGATTTCAATCTTTAAATAATCCAATGTCCAATTTTGTGCAGCTTTTTAATACATTGTGACACAGCATCCAACATTTTTTATATTAAAAATAAAATTTCCATTGATAGACAGCAGATTTCAACGACCAAAACGACTCTTCGTCTTCTTTGAAGAGTTAATACACTCCTATCTACTCCTATAGTCAGCCATATTTATTAGTATTTAAAAAGTTCGTGTTCAATTTCCGCATTCCATTGTTTTCATGCGACCAATCAAATCACTTCTCGTTTTGGTTTTCGCCAGGGCCTCCGGCAACGCAGTGTCAGCCGTGAGGCCCTGGGACCGAGGATGCGACACGGATCGATGAACAGGTGGGCAATTTGTCGACGCTGACCAAAAATAGCGGCTCATTTCTTCTTGAGTTGCCATTTTCGCGTCGAAGAGCAAAAATATAGACTTTCGGAGAATATTTTAGCTGTTTACTATCAAATAAATTTGTGAAACAGTATATAATCTCGCTGAGGAAGGCCAACGGTTTCTGAAAAGCTAAAGTACGTCGAAATCAGCGTTGGAACAGACTATATTTTCACCGGGGAAACATGAACTAAATGGATATTTACATCAACACTAAATTTCGCTCGTGCCTACAGAGCTAGCTGGGTTAAAACAGATGTAAAGAAGTAAGTGAAAATGTGAATTTTGTGACTTATACTTTCATTAAAATGTTTCAGAAGGGCTGCTAATGTCAAACTACACGTGTGACAGAGCTGTCAGTATACCCATATTTCAATGTTTATGTTGAAATGGCCCATCTTCTTTGAGGTATAGCTTAAAAATTAGGGTATGCTCATCACTTGAAACTAGCTTTAAATCAAAGTTTTATTTATAGTCTTTTTATTAGAATTGAAATCATTCATGGGAAAAATGTGCCAGAGGGTTGAAATTGCCCTTGTAAATGTACACTATTTTTGATATGTTTGGGTTAATATTTTGAAAAGGTGTTCTGGAAGGAAAATATGTCTTGAACAATACTGGTTGACCCTTAAATTATAACTAGTGTTATGTAAATCACAGAAAATTGAAAAAAGTCTGGTCCATACACAATAGTTTGGGTTCTATGAGGTCCCGAATGTGGCTTATTTCAATGTTTAATCTGTTTACCTGGAAAAACATAGAAAATTGAATAAGTCAAGAATTTGACTATGCTCATCACCCAAAACCACGTTTTTCTAATTGCTTTTTCACCTGGGTTTGTAGCAATACCAGTTATGCGACCACTAAAAATGCGCGCAGCACTTTTTTTGGACACTGAAGATGACAACATTTGATGTTGTTATCTATTGCCATCCTCTTATCATAGTATAGTTCAACTTATTTTAGTGAGTTTGTTAAAGAATTGTGCTCACTATATGCCTGTGGTATCTAAGATTTTTTTCATAACATTAGATGATAAATTTAAGTTTTGTTTTCTTTTATTTTTAGGTGATAGTATCTGTTCACATGTGTTGGTATCAAATTTTGCACAAGATTAAATTATTATTTCACATTCCTTTATTGAAATATCCAAATAAATGGAATATGACATCAAGCTGGAGGACTAAATCCTGTTTCCAAACTTGTTTTTGTAAAAATTGAAAATAACAACTTATTATGTGTTGTTTTAATAAAAACTATTGTTTGTGATATGCATATTAAATTTTTGAAATTACATTTCATTCTTTGTTAAAATGTGTACTAGGAATACTGAAATCTTTCAGATAAGCTAACAATACCTTTGTAACTTATATAGCCAAGTGTTCTATCTATTTATGTTCAGATTAAACAAATGATGGGTAAAATATTAGATTAGATTTTTGCCAAAAAATGAGCTTGCCTGTTTTCAAAGCATAAAAAGCAATCAAATAAAGCAAAAGTACTTATTTTCAATTTAAAACCTTTGGAATGCATAGCTTAATGTTTTCCACTAAATATTACAAAGTTTTCGTTCATTAAAATGTTGTTTTATCAGCTTTAAAACCAGATAAATTCACGAAACACTCCTAATATATGTCGCCATATTGATTTTCTTCGCGCATGCTCAGACAAATTGCCCACCTGTTGGATCGATGAAGATACCAACCTCGTTCCCAGGCTCTTTGCTCTTGGGAAGCAAAGACCCTGGTCGGAGCTGGTCACGTGAACCCCCAGATTTTGGGGGTAAATTTAATTTGACCTCAGGGAGGGGTAGTAGAGGAGTCTGTTTGTTGCGTTTGGAAAATTGCAACTTTATGTGTTATAATTTCGGGTGATAAAAATGTAATTTGCAACAAGAGATTGTGAAAGGAACTGTTTTAAATTGTATCGATCATGACAAGACTTCCTGCTGTACTGAATGTCATCAATAATAAGTGTTGCGGTACATTTCAAGCGAGAAGCTGGATCATATTTCACTTGCAAGGAAAACACTCCACACGCGCCTGGCTTGCGAAGTTTAGCACGTATCGTGGTAGAAACATACATATCTTCTACACAGAATGATCGATAAAACGGTATTAAACGAACGATATGATATGGTTCTTTATGGTTGAAGTGTATCCTGTCCGATATTCAAAACAAAAGATTTATTTTATAACGGGATCCTTTGATTTCCCAAACATCGCCAACTTGTGTAAACAATAGTGCTATATTGACTGTAAAAGCACAGGATTAAAACCCGTTATGGACTGGCTATAAAATTCATTTCATTTACATTGCTGAAACTCAACGATCAAGAAAGATAATGTCGAAGTGTAGCTAGCTATCTGTTATCACACAAACGCCAAGACTCCTCTGTGCGTTTCCGTGCGTGCGGTACAACTTGAATATCTAGGACGATATATGCACCAGACACTGGTATTGTACTTTATATAAATTACTTCATATTTTGTGTATACAGTAATTTGCAACGTGTATAATATTAGACCTTTCATTGACATTGGCCCATTGAGGGCTTTATTGAAGAATAATCCAGCTTCTTTAGACTTGTATAATGGTTAATGCCGCTGTGAGTTATCAATATTTAAATCAACTTTAATCTTTATCGTATTCCGTAACCGACATTTTAGAAGTTTAGTCTGTTTTACCAAACAATACTGGAGGCAAACAACCTATCTATCAATGGAAACGTTAAAAGGTTTGTTACAGTAAAACTCATTAATATAAGCGAGACTTCGTGTGCATATACAGTTTATGAATTATGTATATCCTGATAAAACGTAGGACACTTTATAGTTTATACCAGATGTAATAAAAAATACTTTGCTAAACCTTTTCTGCTGTCATTCCTTTGCATTTAAGGGGAGAGGGTAAATGGCGATAGAATTTATAGGAGATGCTGTGCAATATTTTGGCTTCAACAAACAGGTACTCGTGCAGACAAAAAAGAAAATTCATGCAGTTGTGAATTGTCGTATGTCAGCTGTGCACTGTCCATTTCAAACAATTTTGTACGTTATATTTTGTCTTCCTGGTGTTTAATATAAACGATGATAACCTTTTAAAAAAATCTAGAGCAATATGTCTATAAACAGTTTTAGAATCAATAGAATGGACATTCAATGTGTATTTGGCTTGTGTCCAAATGTGTCACGTTTAAGACCGGCAAGCCGCTAATCCTACGACCTATAAACAGTCGCTTTTGAGACATCTGTTTAACAAAATTTATACCGTGTCCATATTAGAACAATTCATTGGCATATTATAAGCATATTATAAAAATCAGAGCCAGAACAGAAACGCACGCGTGAAATGAAACTACGCCCGAACCGGCGAACCCCGAGAAAATAAAAATATTTCAAAGCGTACAGTCATACGTTCTCGTTGCTTGATTGCCTGAATTTTCTGTTGCTATAAGAATCTGCATTTTAGCATGTTTGTATAATTTAAAAGCAAACAGAAACCAATTTAGCAAGTAGTTTGAGGTATATATGATTCTCGAAGATGAATTAGATGATTGTACAGAACGGCCACTCCTTGCAATCGAAGTGCGAAGTGCGGAAGTGGAAACATGTAATATGAGACTTTTCCATCCCCCTCTTGGGCTATCAATTTTCTATGGGTCACGTGACCAGCTCCGACCAGGGTCTTTGCTTCCCAAGAGCAAAGAGCCTGGGAACGAGGTTGTGAAGATACACGATTATGTCACTCAAAAGGACCAATTTCTATTAACCAGTCTTCCTTTTAACAAAAGACCGGTTTTGCTCGAATCATTTTGAGTTATGCAATCTAATGCGTGTTGGACGTAAACAACATATCTTGTCTACAACTTTGAGAAGGTACAGATAATTCCTTCTAATATCCTTAGTTCTGAATCTATCTCTATAAAATCACATGGACGTTAATGTTAAGTCAGTTGGGCTATATGTATCTGGGCTGAGAAATAATTCCTTACACTATGCGATCAAAATGTTTTATGCAAAGTGTAAAACGGTAATCTACATATATGTAATTGATCAGCATTTAAATTTCCAACACATGAGTTTCCGAGACGTAATTCAAGAGATAACTTATCATTGCATTTGAACTATTACATCGGTTAGTGTTATACTGTGCGATAAGCGAATATTATTGGAAAGAATTAGGCTTCCACTTTGGGACTGATCTTTGTCTTTGATGTGGCCATTTATTCTCCTAGTTTAAGGTTATCTATGATTGATCCTGTCGTAAGTGTTCTATACCAGCAACCGATCGACAATATTTCATTTTAGCGTTGTCTTTGCCGTTACGTTGGCTTCGCGTTACTTGTTTTACATACCTTGATCGCGTTAAAAGAGTTATTTTTCAGGCCAGTGACATAGCCAAAAGACTTCGCATTAATGTCCTTGTGATTGTATAGAGATATCTCTAGAACTGAGGATTTTAAAAAGCGTTATTTGTACTTTCTCGAAGTTCTAGACAAGATATGTTGTTTACGTCCAACACGCATAAGATTGCATAACTCAAAATGATTCGAGCAAAACCGGTCTTTTGTTAAAAGGAAGACTGGTTAATAGAAATTGGTCCTTTTGAGTGACATAGTCGTGTATCGTCATCGATCCGTGTTGTTGAACAATGAAAAATTTGTCATACAACACAAGAAACGGTATAGTCCGTGTGTTGTGACCCGATATCGTTCACTTTCATTAAGCATGTCTTAGAAGATAGATCTGAAATATTTTCACGGAAACTAACACTTTCGAACACGCTGAGTTCAAAAATCCGAAAAGATCCCACTCCGTAGACCCGCAGTTTTCTCACAAAATGCTTAATTTTATCTTCAATAATTTCACCCATATAGTTAATATGGTTATGGTTAGGTGTAGTTAATTAAAGGACATATATAACTCAAAAATTGATGGTGTTATTTTTTAGTCTAATTTGAAAGATCATTGAAAACTGTAGAGTAACTTCTTTGACAGATGTTTGTTTTCTTGCTTATCGTTTTGGAGATATTTCATTTTGTATGATATGCAAAGGCCAACTTCCTACGTCACACTCACTACGTAATCACTTCCTACGTGATTTAGCACTAAAAGCTGTATATCTTTAATACGACTAAACATGCACATGACAATTAGTTGACCTATACATGGGTGTTGTTGTGGACAAATCTCGTGCTCATCATTCATTTTGGGGAATTTATTTGATAGTGACAAAATTATTTTACAACATTTTAAAGTAAGTCATTATATGCATATGTAACGTAGATAGTTGGTCCCTTGCACATCATACAAAATGAAATATCTCCAAAACGAAGCAAGAAAAGAAAAATCTGTCAAAGAAGTTACTCTACAGTTTCCAATGATCTTTCAAATTACATTAGACTAAAAAATGACACCGTCAATTTTCGAGTCATATGCCCTTTAAAGGTGTTCTAAATCTATCAAAGTGTTCTGTATTCATGAAAGAGCAATGATCTCAGGATCAAGGCTATACGCATGTCTTAAATATAGGGCCTTTCAAAAATTTCTGACGACTGATTTATAAAATTCGAGGCGCAGCGCGAGAATTTTAAATATGATGAAACACGACTACAAGTGTTAAATGGCTTAAAATGACCCGATCCTGCACCAGCATTGTTATGTATACTGTCTGCAGAATACAATTGAATTAGCTGCCAAACGATGTGCAACGTATCGGGTTCAGCATGCAAATTAGTCGTGGTCACCGGTCTTGTGGTTCAAAGCTTAACACAAATGCAAGATTTACTGCATGCACAATATTTCGATCGTTTCAAGCGAGATGCTCATGGCAAAAGTGTTGTTACTGATCAAGCAAAAAGAAGAATGAAGGTTAGGCATTTTGAACTTACATTTCCAAAGTAATAGATGTGTAATTTAAGTAGTTTGACGTTTGCTGTGTTTATATTAATCAATATGCATTGCATTGAACAGTTCTTTTCAGAACTAACGAACTTTAGCTCTTATATATACCGTTAGACATTTCTCCTCAGAATTTCGTATGTATTTGATCGAAATCTTTCTCAGTAATCTTCACTATTTACAGTAGACCTCGTATATATACACCATCAGTAGCCTCTCCACACAGTTCAACTTCGTACAAACATGAGATTTCATTGGCGTGGAATCATCCCATGCGTCTA